AACTCTCTCATCTTTTGACTGACATGACCATCTTTTGATTGATCACTCCCGTGTTTCTCCAGCAGTCTATCTCCAAATACACATATGAGAGGGTCATGTCTTAATTCAAGGGACACCTTGTCAATTACCATTCTCTTAACAATGTTTGAGCATCTTTCTGATGGCTGTCCTTTGTATGGAAGGAGAGCTGAGGCAGCAGCTTGAACTCTTCTTTTTTTCTCGGATTTAGTTTCTGACTCGAGCATTGTTCTGCGACACCATTTCTCATGTTTCCATAATTCATCTTTTATGAAAAACCCATAGCAAACGTTGCATTGCAAATAATCTTCTGCATTTGCATGCTTTGATGGCTGTCTATAGGTTACTATCTTGCCCTCACCCTTCTGCAACACCTCAGTGTTATGATAATAATTTCCCTTCCTACGAAGTTGCTCAAATGTTTGGCGACACTTCTTTGATGTTGATGGAAGACACATTGCTAGGGCCACTTCTGTTTCACTGCTGTGTTTCCGCCTCAGATGCCGTGTCACTTTACTTTGTGGTTTTTTTTGCAGTATACACAGTACTGACGCTTATCCCACTTTTTTTTTTTACCCTTGCGGCAGGGTTTTTCTGGCACAGTCCTTCTGAAAGAACAAGCAGATTAGAATAGTAGTTATTCAAATAATGAACCTATAAAGTTTTTCAGTTGGGCTGCATTGCTGTAGCCCACAACAAAATAAAAAGCATAAATATATACATACCAATTCCTGTTGTGCCTTCCTTTTTCTGTTCATCTGTAAAATTCAGAGTAAATTTGAAACATACTGACAATGTTACAGAAAAACCATTACAAATAAAGCATACATCAGCTTTATTTTCCTGCATAAAGTTGGCATATCTTCAAAGACAATTTAAATAGCTAACTTGTGAGCCTCTATTTAAAGAAATAACTCAAAGCAAACATTAGCTTAATAGCTTCACAAATACCAACGCTGGAGAATGAGCCAGAGGACTAAACCAGAATTTAGTTTCAAACTAAAACAACTAAACAGTTTCATAAATCTTACCTGGACAATTGGCAGTTTTTTTTCATTGTCTAATTCAGCTTTCACGGTTCTCTCCTCGTTGTATCTCTCAGCACACCGATTGTGGTGCTACCGCAGTGTTGAGGCATGCATTTAATGCAAGATTAGTTGAAGGTGAGCCTCTCGCTCCAGGTGTTATAAATATTGTTTGATTCCCATCCACTTCTAAGCTGCCCTGTCTGAGCCCTGCCTGCGACACAGGCAGTATTGCATGAATTCAGCTTAATCAGAGCATGATACTTTTAGAGCACAAGCTGGGACACATTTTTCTCATTTGGACCAGTAATTTCCTTGTTGCTACATACAAGATGTGACAGACAGACAAACTATGTTCCACGTGTACAGACTATACATGTGCAACCTGCCCCGACTCACAAACCTTTGGCCCATCGCTCTCTCTGCTTATTTTCAGTTTTGTTTCAGTTTCAAACATATTTCATGTCTTGGCGTGGTCAGAGACACAGCACCAGCTACACTGGATACAGGGCCCTCCTGTGGAAGGCAGTGGATCAACTGGCTCCAACATTCTGCGGCTCTGCTTGTGATGTTTGTGTACACTGTGTGTGTGTATTTCTTATTTTGTGGACTAAACTGCTTAGTGCTCAGTAAAATAACTGGCGTCTGGACAGGGCATGTACCATGCTCCCGACCTGGTCAGTGTGATTTGGAAAGTTTGGTATCCTATGATGAAGGACGCAAGCCTCGTCAGGCTCTGCTTTCCTGACCCCCCGACCCCGACCAGCAGGGCGTTCCCCTGTGGAGTCTGCAGGATCCGTGAGACCCGCATCAGGTTGGTCATGGCATCCTGCGGTTGGAGCAAACGGAGACAGCGATTAATGTTGTAAACTAGAGAACTGTTAGAGTAGCACCTGTTTGGTGTCGATGTGAAGCCATCACTAAGCTGCAGACTCTACATCCAACATGGCCACCTGATCGGTAGTCTGGTCGGTACCTTGAAGAAGACGAGGTCCATGGCTCCGCCCCTCACTGCCTCGTTGTACTGCTGCTGGAAAACAGACAGCTGCTCTGCCAGAGCATTCAGCAACGGGATCGGCTCATAGACCTGTTATGATATCAACACTTACATTAATACAGCAGAGGGACAGAAATAAAGGTGCATCATACTAATAATATTCAGGAGCTTAAACACGGTCTGTGTTGGTACCAACATGTTTTATATACTGAGAAATACAATGAGTACTGATTTACTCTGAATAAAACACGGTAGCTACAACACATCAGTCAAAGTGAAGACATAAATAAGTGAACATTGGGCTCTGGACACCTTTGGAGCCTCCAGCTCGGTGTCTTCAGGTTCATCACCCTTCGCCTCTGGAGCGTCACGCAAGAAGTCCACAAAGCAGCTGTCCCACTGAGCATGCTCAGTTAGAGATCTCCGATGATCCTCCGCTGTGATCTGAGTGAGAGGAGGGTGACCGTGAGTGCTCACTACCTCTGTTTAAGACAACGCTGTGTGTTTTGTCATGTTCATCTCCTTCCTCTCATGCACTGCCAGTGCTGACGGGCACAAACATGATAAAATACACACACCTCACACACTGGTAAGTCACTGGTCGAGTTTGAAACCGTGACTGGTAACGTGCACATTTACTGGTGCACTGCAGCAACATTTTTTACTGTGCCTGATGTTTAATTTTCCTATTTCACTTTTAACTGATTCTACGTTAATAAATGTGGATATGTAATGTATTAATGCAGTGGATGAACTGTGCATTGTCTATCAAGGTCTGACACAAAACTACTGCAGCATGAATAAAGTTCAGCCATTAATAATTATTGAATAAAATTCCTTGTCATCAGTATAAAATTAATACAACACAGTCGATAGAAAAGAATGCGCTGCTCATACTGAACCTTCTCCATGATGCAGCTGAAAGTTTGTCTGTCGCTGCTGTCAATGAATCTGTCGGCGATGACTCTGCTGCATTCATGATGGAAGAGAGCGGAAAGGAGCTCGGAGCTCCGACACACCTCAGATTTCACCATCAGGATCCCCTGAAGCACAACACGCACCATGACAAACCTGATGACCTGATGACCTTGTAAGTTTGTTATAACTCTTATATACAGGACACATGGTTACAGTTCATTCCATGAACAAAATCTATATTATCAATAATCTATCACCTCCAATCAACCCAGATTTAAAAAAAAAAAAATTCAAAAGAGATCACTGAGCTATGGACAACTAGTTCTTTTTCCTCCCATTTATAAAAGCAGGAGAGAAGAAGAAGAGTTTTTAACTAAAAATACAAAACGTAAGAACAAAGTGCTTCTTAGGATTAAAAGATGAGCACAGGACGAAGCATGTAATGCAGACAAACAGAACCGAAGGTAATTAGCAGCAGTATTTCACCTTTGCCTTCACAGCCTGCCACAGACGGCAGCGGGGAAGCCTCTCTTTGGGCAGAAATACCCCTGAGCCATGGTGCCAAAGCTCTTGTCAATAGAGCTGTTGGAGGGCACGGTGCAGTTGAAGATGGAGAACTGTCTCTTCAGGCGCTAGGGGGTGTCATTCCGGCCGCCACCAGGGTGGATCATGGCTGCCACCAGCTGTCAAAGTTGTTACACTCTCTTTATGTGCTCTGTTGTCGCCCAGGTGTGACATGACTCAGGAAAGCGCATGGTGAGCAGACAACTATCACAGTAACCAGGACACGTTAACACAGACTGTGTGTACAGCTATAGTACAACACGCTGTCCTTGGCAGACTGGTCTGCTTCTCTCATTGATCAGTGATGTGACTGATAGATCACTATAGATACTTAAACACCACTATCATCATCCATTTTTAAAACTAAATATGACAAACAGTGAAGGCCAGGTCTACACAGTAATACTGAGGCTGTCCAACAAAGTGGCCACAGCACAATAATCATCTATCACCACTGAGGAAGGAGCTCAGTGGCCAGGTACTCTGATCCACCAGCAGAGACCTCCACTAATCAGACAGGGTCACCACCGCCCCCTCATGTGCAGTCACGGCTTTGGTCATGAGCCCTGAGCCAAATCCAATGCCAACATGGATGCAGTGAAAAGTAACAGACAAAGCTCTAAGTTAGGTATTAGGGTTTTACCACGGGGGGAATGAGCCTTCGATGATGTTGTGGGACAGCGCACTTTAACTGACATGCAGCAGAAACAAGTGCTAAAATGAAACAGAACTTAGAGGAGAAGCTGGAGGGAACCACAGACAACAAGCCGCCTCGAGGTTATTACCTGGACATCCACCACAGTGATGAACTCTCCTGGTTGATCCAAACTGTAAAAACCTCCCTGCTCCATCAGCTGACACACAATCTCATTGTTTA